AGTTTTGTTGTAATCTTGCATGTTCTACCTCATATTTGCTTTCTTGTTTTAAGTTCATGTTGTAATCTTGCATGTTCTATCGTATATTTGCCTTCTTGTTTTAGTTTCATAATAATTGTGTTATAATCTTGCATTTCCTGACTTATATTTTTCTTGTATTAGTCTCATATTAATTTTGTTGTAATCTTGCATGTTCTACCTCATATTTGCTTTTTTTATTTTACGTTCACATTAGTTTTGTTGTAATCTTGCATGTTCTATCTTATATTTGTTTTCTTTGTTTTAGTTTCATAGTAATTATGTTGTAATCTTGCATTTCCTAGCTTATATTTTTCTTGTATTAGTCACATATTAGTTTTGTTATAATCTTGCATATTCTACCTTATATTTGCTTTTTTTGTTTTAGGTTCATGTTAGTTTTGTTGTAATCTTACATGTACTACCTCATATTTTTTGTTTTAGGTCCATGTTAGTTTTGTTGTAATCTTGCATGTTATATCTTATATTTGTTTTCTTGTTTTAGTTTCATAGTAATTATGTTGTAATCTTGCATTTCCTAACTTATATTTTTCTTGTATTAGTCTAATATTAGTTTTACTGTAATCTTGCATGTTTTACCTCATATTTGTTTTTTTTTTTTTTTGTTTTAAGTTCATGTTAGTTTTGTTGTAATCTTACATGTTCTATCTTATTATTTGTTTTCTTGTTTTAGTTTCATAGTAATTATGTTGTAATCTTGCATTTCCTAACTTATATTTTTCTTATATTAGTCTCATATTAGTTTTATTGTAATCTTGCATGTTCTACCTTATATTTATTTTCTTGTTTTAGATTCATATTAGTTTTGTTGTAAGTTTGCACTTTTTTTATTTTATATTTGGTTTCTTGTTTTTAATCTAACCGGTAGTGGTTAGTTGAACTATCTACATATTTCTTGTTTGTTCATTTTCTTGGTTTCGTAATAAGACAGGTTTTGCTAGGCTTAGTTGGCCGGCCGGTTAACTTCTTTTGGACAAGACGGTATTGTCTTCCGATGTTAACCAACTTCCGGTGGTTTCCAAGGCATATGAAACTTTTTTTTTCTTTTGTTTATTTTATTTTGAGTGTATTGTGATATTTTTATTTTGTTGTAATATTCTCCTCACCCCCTTCTAATTTGGTTTGTAATAATTTATTCAAAGTGTTATAATAATTTCCCATCCCACTTCTTTCTATCCCGTTCTTTTACTTACTTTCCTTATTTGTAAATATGCATCGTGTTTATTTTATTTTATTTTTTGCCATTATATCCATACTTTACATTTATGTTTCATGCATCTTGATTAGGCTAAATTTGTATTTATGGATTTAATCAATTCCTATGTGATTATATGCGCTACCTCATGTTATTGAGATGATTCACATGTCATATTTTAGAAATCAAATCTTTAGTTACATCTCATGAGTGAATTGCATTAGGATTTTGTATATAAGATAATGCATGTTTTACTAACTTTGTTTTGTAGCTGGTCGAGGGACGTCAGTAAATATGTAAGTTTTTATCCTTTAATATCCCGTTTGTGTGCGTTTTTCTTATTATGTTTAAGCACCCTACCATGTGGCCACTTGCTTACTTGATATAACTATATGAATGCCAGTAGATGGAGGTTGTGTCGCTTAATTTGAAATAGTGTTGATTTTCATGTTTGTAAATTCAATTTATTTGGGTTATACATCTCCAAAACTCTTTCAAAACTACATGAAATCAAATTATTCCAAAATAAATGACATAGTCTGTAATTATATGCTTCACATAGTAATTTTTAGGATTTATTAAATAATCGAAATATGAACATATGAAACAAAATAAAATTCATATCATGATTTAGTAAAGGCCAATCTTTTGATCGGGTGAGTACGGTGAGTAGGGGTACCCAATTAATGACCTTCCCCTCTTATACCTAAGGTTCCAAACCGAGACAACTTTGGTTATGACGAACAGTGGCCTTGGCATGAGTCATGGGTTTCCTAATTTTTCAAAAATATTAGGTGGCGACTCTGAGATATGACGACGCAGTTTATTTCTGGCAAAAGATTTTGCAATAAAATGGATTTTCTAAAAATTGTCAAATCTGGACTCTCATTTATGTTTCACATTGCACTAGTGAGGCTAGATCAAAGGGGCTGAGAGTCCGAACTGTTTAACGCGCATGGGTACCCCCCGGACATGTTACAAAGGGAAAACAAAAGAAATACGAAATCACAAGAAGAAAAGAGGAGGAACTTACAATAGTTATCAATCGATAGCTTCAGGCGAAGAGCGAGGAAATGTGTATATAAGGACTGAGGATGTGATGCGATGGAAGATGAAAAGTAAAGCGGCAAATTCTTCAATTAATATGTCAGAAGAGAAATGGCACATTAAAAGAAGAAATGACGGGCGTCATTATTTAATATAAGACTACTCAATAGAGGTGTGTCACAAATAATGTTGTCAACACAGATTCTAACCAAAATCAGCTGTACCACCTTCGACAATTCATCAGAAAGGATCGCTGAAGGAGGGACAATTGTGGAGGGTAAAAATATTGACCTAGAGCCTAAGGAAATGGATATATGGCCTAGGGCATTTAACCCAACCAAAGCAGCTCCAAAGTAAGGGCTAGGCCCAAACCCGTGTTAGGTCCATCTTAATGAAAGAGACAAAGTCACATAATCAAAGATTTGAATAAGATTACCTTATAGAAGGAAATCCGCAACACAAAGAAGAGCCGTTGGATCCGTTTGTAACCTATGATGGAGATCAGACTTGACAGAGTTAAGGATATGGGATCAACATATCCTGACAGCATAATCAGTTGATGAGCAAGATCCGACGGTTGAAGATAAAAACTAGTATCCGAACTAATCTAGGCCGTCCAACATGAAACAACTCCGATGGTGGCAGATTAAGACAACTTGACCACTTGAACGACCAAGATCTGGGAGCATAAAATACCATTGGATCAAGACAGTCATCCAACGGCCCAAATGCAAGATCTTGACACTATAAAAGAAAGGATCAAGAATAACCAAGGAGGGAATTAAACAATAACCAATACAACTAGTCTTTCCTTTCAATACAATATGACCAAACAATATTCTGACTTGACCGTCGGAGGGTCTTCCCGACCAAATCTGGCCGGGAGAGAACATTGACAACTTGGTGTCTTTTTACAGAGCATAGGAAGAAACAACTTGCCTGTGGAGAAAAATTCATCCTTCCACAACATCCATCTTTGAAAACCAAAAATCTCTTGCCCATTGTATATTTATAAAACAATTTTAAGAACCAATATTCGAATATTTTCCATTGCTCAGTTTGTTGGAGTTTATCACTGTCTTCTAATTTTTCCTCCCTTTTTTCGGGGCGAAGAGTGTGGAGACACACACAACACTACTATTGATCAACCCACCTAATTGGAATTTACACACCAAGCTACTCCAACATAATCAACCCACCGAAATGATATATCAGTAGCACTAATCAATACAAAGTGTACTGATATGCCTTGTACTCCGACAACAAACAATTAAATAAAACTAGTTGTCATCAAATAAATTTTAATATTCTATTGTCTCTAAAAATATGAAAGGCGTATTATAATTAATACTATCAAATCAAATTAAATATTCTTTAAATCACATACTTTGTTGAAGAGGTTTATTCAACAATTCTCTCTCCAACATTGCGGAAGAACTTTCCAAGAAACTAGAATTTCAGATGTTAATCGGTTTGCCAAAGCTGGTCTTGGACTTTCTCGTGGTCTAAAAGATCTATAGACAGGGTAGCCCATTAGGTAGGGTGCAACTCGAGCGGGTTCAGTCAGGTTGGGAGGTTATCCAAGCCTAGTCTAAGTCGTACTGAGACCTATCCAAGTCCACTCAAGCCCGAATTGTAACCCGAGGTTGTCTGCCCAAGCCCGACCCGAGTTAAACCCGAACTATCCGAGTTGCCTGAATTGTAAATGAATTTCAATTTTTTTTTTCCAGCTAAATTATTAAATTATTAAAATTTGATTCTATTTATATTTTTTTTAATAGAAAATCATTAATATCATCAAAACAAATAATTTATATAATGTAAGAGAAATGTCACTATTGTAGTCCTTATAATTTATGAGTGAAAATAAAAAGAAAAAAAGTAAGACTTTATATTATTTGTATGTATAATATATATTCAATATGATTTAATAATATAAATTATTTTAATATCATGTAATGGCTAATAATTTATATGTATATTTAATATTTTTATATATCTATATATGTATATTTAGGGTTTTGGATTGCTCGGATTGTTTAACGTCTTTGCCCAAGCCCGCCCAAATTTAATTCAGACTTCTTAATTTTTGCCCAAGTAAATACCAAATTTAAAAATATTTTGTCCAAATCCTAAAAAAATTCAGACTGGGCTCAGGTTGCTCGGATTGAGCTGCCCAAGTTGCACCCCTACCATTGGGTAGCCCATTCGACTAGTTGGGTGTCTGGTCCCTCTTTAATACTAGTCTCTTTACTTGTAGCTTCTGTTTGGAAAGATGGGTTGGGTTGGGTTGGATTTGGGGCTATTTTAGTCAAAAAAAGATAAAATAGACTTTTTATAAAACATCACATTCAACAGATAATCATTACATTCTTTTTCTCATAAAAAGTTAAAAAGTCAAAAAACTCTTTCCAAACGAGACTTTTTAATCCCAAACTAAAATAATCAAAAAATTCAAAAACCAACCCACTTCCTAAACGAACTTATAATCTCTTCTTATTCGTAATCTATACATACTTTTTGCAACCCAAAAAAAAAAAATTGAGTAAACCTAAATCCAAAAAAAACAATTAAAGAATTCCCAATTGGGAAATAAAAATCCGAAAATCAAAGTTCATGAACCAACTTTCCCAAACCTAAACCCGTCAACCCCTATATAAATTTCTCATCCATGTTCTTCCCCAAATATCAGCTCACTCTCCCTGTCTCTGTCTCTGTCTCTATCTCTCATCCGATACACACTCAACTCAATCTCTAAACAAACGATTACACTTCTAATTCTATAAATAACAGTTGTGTTTGATTCTGATACGATCATGTACGCAGAAGGTGATTTCAATGCCAATTTCGCTCTGCTGTGGTCGATACGTCGTGACTTGCTTGGAGAGTTTGAAGCTCCGGCAATTAACTCCTGTAACAACCCCGTAGAGTACTGTTCGGTTAACAACTTGTTCCCTTGTCTGACCCAAAACTTGGGAGAGTTGTCTTTGAAGGAGAACCATTCGGAGGACATTGGCAGGCTTCCAACTCCGGCGGTTCCGTCCACCACCGCAGCTGCTACCGAAATGAGTAATTTTCCAGAATCTGTTGCGCCACCTGTGACGGCGGCGGTGGAGTCGAAGGGGACGCAGTACAGGGGAGTGAGGAGGCGGTCGTGGGGCAAGTACACGGCGGAGGTTAGGGAACCAGAGAAGAATGGGGCTAGGGTGTCGCTGGGGACGTGTGAAACGGTGGAGGACGCCGTCGTGGCCTATGACATTGCGGCGTATCGCATGCGCGGGTCATGTACGCTTCTCAATTTTTCACTCTGGATTAATTTGGGTGAGCCGGAGCCGGTGCACCTTACAGCAAAAAGGTCATCGGCAAATCGATATTTGTCATCGTCATCGGAGAATGGTTGCTCTAGGAAGAGGAGGAAGAAAGTGGTGGCGAAAGCAGAGCCGGCAGTGGTTTAGCTTAGAATTGAGTAAAATATTATCCAGTCTGTTAAAATTGTATAAATCCACGTTAATTCGTACCCGTTCAATTCGCTAACTACATATTAAATTTTAAATTTTATAATCCGTTATAATGGTCCTGTTTGGTACAGCTTAATTTCAGCTTATTTCAGCTTTCAGCTTAATTTAAGCTATTTTGATGTGTTTGGTTTAGCTTATAGCTTATAACTTATAGCTTTGTGGAAGTCAGAAAACAGCTTATTCTTTAAGTGGGGCAGGAGATGCTTTAAGAATAAGCTGGAAATCAGCTTAAGCTGAAAGTTATAAGCTATAAGCTGTTTAGGCATAAGCTATAAGCACTTTCCCACAGCTCTACCAAACAGGGCCAATAACATATATGAATATATATTAACTTTTAATGAAATATTAAAATAAAAATAAGTATAAAAAAAAATTAAGATATAAAATTTGTTACAAATTAATAATTGTACATATGAAAATATTATATAAAATAAGTTTATGTTATATATATAAAAAATATTATAAAATTAATATTACTGTGCAGGGAGCAAATATTCAGGCAAGCCTGCACTCATTTCTTCCAAGTTCTTGCCTGTCCGATCGACCTGCGAATACAACGGCGGTGAGCTACCCGGCGGTGTGTGGCCGGAAAACCCCTCCAATGATCAAGTTAGACACACACAGGGATAGAGAGAGAGAGAGAACTGAGTTGTGTGTAGTGTTTATCTCACCAAAATGTCATGCTCCCATATGGGGGCCACAGACATGCTTATATACCTTCTGTACCCCAAATCTACTCACAGTGATCTCTCGACACGTGGTGCTACTATCCTATCTGTCAGCACAAATCTTGCTGAACATCACCTAACCCAACTGCTAGCCCACTCTACTGGGAGCTCGGCAACCGGGCTGCAGCATCTCGGCTGTCAACGGCCATGCTGCGCTTCATGCCCAAGTGCGCCAATAACCGAGCTCCTTTCCAGTCGTGCTTGACTGCATTCCGACGAAGCCAAGCTTGAGATTGGTCATACCGGTAAACCAAAGGCCAACCTGCCGAGCTTAAGGCACGAACCTTCATGCCTAGCTATGGAAGCGCGCCTTCCAACCGAGCAACGCATAAACCGTGGAACCCTTACTTGACCGGCCTCCGTGCCGACATGGTCAAGTAGCTCAGTTCTACACGCCCTTTGCCATTATCGAGCAAAAATCACTTCTGGGTAGACCCAGGATACCACAGCCCAAATGTGTTCAACCCACAATTTGCCCGGTATTACCATGGCCCAATCCAGATCATACTTCTCCCTCTCAATTGCCCCTTAATTCCGTCCGCGCTAGCGTGACCGGGATTACCTGTTCCGACCGGGATGAACTCTTCCTCGGTTCACAATTTGCAAGAGGCAAATCGGGCTAATTTCCGCGCTCGATTCCTTGCCTTGCTCGGTTGACGCCTCGTCTGACCTTCCTTTCTCTTGACTTGCTCGGTCGACGCCTCGTCTGACCTTCCTGTCTCTTCACTCTGATGTTGCATTAATGAGGGACACGTGTAGCGTGCTGATTGGCCTCGAGCAGCTAACCGTCCCTTCTCATTCAAATTTTGGCGGCTTTTCAACCTCATAAGCATGCCCAACCTACTTCATTCCACTATTCTTGCCATTTCTTTCTGTTTGACGTCCCAGAGCTCGTGCCATTCCTCCCTTGCCATTTCAGAGTTTGTGTTCGAAGAAGGAGCCACTGCCCCTCAACTGGTAAGTCCTTCAACTCTTCTTATTGTCATTTAATTTGATATTTCTCCTTTTAGGGCACCAAATCCATAGGTTTTAGGACATAACCCTCCCAAAACCCATATTTGCCCCTATTCTCTTTGTTGTTCTTCAATCCCAGTGATGAACATATGAATACACGAAGAACTGGGGCGGACCGGGCTCCAGGTCATTTTTTGATCCCAAAATACAATAAGACCGAGCAATTTACTAGTTTACCAAAACCTTTAGCAGAAACCAGGGTAGGCAAGGAGCCTGGCCGCTCGACCGGGCTAACATCTGGTCCGCTTAAGTGGCCGAGCACCTTGGTTCACCTTCAAACCAAGGTGGTTGGCACTCTTCATAACCGAGCTAAAGTCAAGCTTGTTTTGTGCGACCGCGCTCACACTTACCATTGCCATCCTTTTCTTGCAGAGTCCAAGGGGACCACTAACCAAATATTGAGGCTCTCAAAGACCGAACAGCCATCAAGACACTAGTCTTTGCCAAAACCACCTCAGCCGAGCTAAACCAGCCGGCTACACATGGGACGCTTCCGCTTCCTTGTCGATACTCCGGCTGCCCTGGCCATATTCCGGGAAGAGTATGGCATCCCGGCCGACGTACACCTAGAGCTCGGTTAGATTGAGACAACCCCTTGGGGTACATTAGTCCAGTGCCCCTTCACCGTGCTTTCCATAATTGAATAAGGCCTCCGCTTCCCGGTCAACCCTTTGCTGACCGAATTCCCGCGCCGTACCGGGCTAGCACCCACACAAGTATCGACCAACACCTACCGAATAATCAACGGCATCCATGAGCTGAATAATCGGCTAGGGACCAACTTAGGTTTAGCCGAGATACTGCGACAGTATACCCTTGGGCACACCGGCGACGGCCTCGCCTATTACTTAAAGATTAGGCCGGGCAAAGAAAAAATAGTGACCGGTACCCCAGACAAAGACTTACACGACGACGACTTCTTCTGGGTGTCCGGCAATTATGAAACGGCCGACGTACCGGGCTGATTCATTAGCAAAAATTTCGGCAAGACATGCAAGTCGTGCTAACTGGCTAGATTAATTTCTTTTTCACAATAATTTGTACTTAAAACATTTTTCTTTCTTCCTTTGTAACAATCCACGCCTTATAGGCCAACTGCCACTATCCCAACGAAGAAGCCATCAGGACCGTGCTCCGTTATCGCCATCGGGATTGCAACGAGCTGCTCGGCTACACCCCAACATACCGGTACTCTGCTCCACGGCGGAGTAAGGTCACAGACTTTCTCCGTGCTCCATCACCTTCTCCAGACCCAACACTACCAGATGTGCCCCTAATCCGGTTAACCGAGGAAGAAGAGATGGCAAAACGAAGCCGTATCAAAAACCTCCTCACTGCAACTTCCGCCGACATACCAAGCGTCATTACCCGCTCTCCAGCTGCCGGTCAATCAAGCGACGCCGTGGTGGCATTGGTGTCTCCAGTCGCCAGTCAAGCCCGCCAAGAAGCCTGCCGAGCTGGGAAAAGGCCTCGCACAGATCCCTCTGCCGAGCTGGTTGAAGAGCTGACTACCGAGCAACCCGGCGTCACCGTAGACCCTGCACCGGCATGGCGACCGCAGCTCAAACACCGGGGTAAGGAGATCCCAGCAACAGCTTCCGTGAAAGGTGACAAAGAACATCTTCTCGCCTTCGACCTCTCCAAGGCCCTTCTCCTACCGAGCGATGTGGTCGGTAGCGACCATGTTCCAAACACCCGGTTGGTGACGTCGGCCGTGAAGTCCATGACCAGGGTAAGAGTCAAACTTCTACTCAAATTTTCATAAGTGTTTGTACGGTTTCCTCTCTGATCAATCTTTTTCTTGCAGGCCATCCAGAAGTAACACTTGGTCATGAAGAGAATTCATCGACTGCGACAGAAACCTCTCCAAGGCCCTTCTCCTACCGAGCGATGTGGTCGGCAGGGACCATGTTCCAAACACCCGGTTGGTGAAGTCGGCCGTGAAGTCCATGACCAGGGTAAGAGTCAAACTTCTACTCAAATTTTCATAAGTGTTTGTACGGTTTCCTCTCTGATCAATCTTTTTCTTGCAGGCCATCCAGAAGTAACACTTGGTCATGGAGAGAATTCATTGACTGTGGCAGAAGGCAAACGACACTGTCAGCCAAGTCCAAAGTCTTCAAACCAAGCTCGGCCGAGCAAAGTCTTCACTGTAGATTGCCAACGCTGACAACACCAAGTTGCTCGGCCAGCTTGGCGACGCCGAGAAAAAGTGAGATGAGCTCCAAGCCGAGCTGGATGCACTCAAAAAGTCAAAGGAGAAGGAGTGCAAAGACACCAACAACGTTGGCTTTAAGGAGGCCGAGGACAGCTATAAGAAGCAAGTCTTCGCCACCCAAGACATCTATTTCAAGGCGGGTTGGAAGTCTGCCTGCGAACAGCTCGGTCAAGGTCCTGATACCGACGTGTTTGCCTCTTCGCCAGTTGTCTTCCTGCCGACCTATCTCGTGCCATATGCCAACGATGTCTTCAGCGCGTTGTAGGCTGAGGCCGAAGAAGGACTTGAAGGAGAAGCCGAGGCAGATGCTGAGGGAAAGGACCACCAAGAGTAGGAGCAGCCTGGCCAAACAGAAACCGGTGTCCAAGACCAATCTCTAACGGTCAACTTGGAGGCAACCGAGGATGAATTCACCAACCTTTCCCCCTTAGCCTAGTTTTCTTTTTCCTTGCTTTTTTCTTTTTTTTTTTTTTTTTTGAACATGTAACCGGGATAAGTTCCCCACCTTTTGTATTTACTTTCGCATCAATGAAAAAGCTCTAATTTCATCAAGTGTTTGTGCGGTCTTCAAGCCTCTTACCTTCAGTCAAACAAAATACCTCGGCTAGACAAACCTCATTAATTAACTGATGTAACCGAAAAAGACATCTCGGTTTGAATCATAGTTGAACAAATCATCAACTCTTTTAACCAGAAGAAGTACCTCAGTTGAGAACACCTAAGTTGAGCAAACCATCAACTCTTTCAACTGGAATAAACATCTCGGTTGAGAATAAATAAGTTGAGCAAAACATCAACTCTTTCATCTGGAATAAATATCTCAGTTGAGAATCACAGTTGAACAAATGATCAACTCTTTCAACCGGAGTAAACATCTCGGTTGAGAATCATCAACTCTTTCAACCGGAGTAAACATCTCGGTTGAGAATCACAGTTGAACAAATCATCAACTCTTTCAACCGGAGTAAACATCTCGGTTGGAAATCACAGTTGAACAAATGATCAACTCTTTCAACCGGAGTAAACATCTCGGTTGA